AAACGGGAACAGTTGTATTAAGGTTCACGTTTGGGAGGCGTGTCATTGATGATATCATGAAATCAAAACACAGAGAGAGAGAGAGAGAGAGAGAGAGAGAGGGAGGGAGAGAGACAGAGAGAGACACGATGGATGGATGGATGGATGGATGGATGGATGGATGGATGGATGGATGCATGGATGGCTCGATGGATAGGATATAGTTGGGTGGAGACAGAAGAAATACTCATTTACAGATATAGGTGCAGACACACAAAACTAACCTACGATTAATGCTGCCAGATGTATTGTTCACTGGTACTCGTTGCGGGTGTGCAGAAACACAGTCATCATGGGCTGGAAGTGGTTGGCAATTATCCGGCCTCATCGTCGTCGAGCTCTTCTTCATCAGCTTCTAGGAGGTCCTCGATCTTCTAACCAACATGAACACTACCGACATGAGTCTTGCGGACAGTCTTGCTTCATGTTTGTTGCTGTTACTGGACTGCTGCTGCTGCTGCTACTACTGCTTCCGCTACTGCTACTGCTACCGCTACTGCACTGCCACTCTTGCTACAGCTGTTGCTACTGCCCCTGCCGCTGCGGCTGCCGCTGGCTGCGGCCGCGGCTGCTGCTCCTACCCCTACCTCTACTCTTACTCCTACCCCAACTTCCTACTACTACTACTACTACTACCACCACTACCACTACCACCACTACCACACTACTACCACTACTACCACTACTACCACCACCACCACCACCACCACGACTACTACTACTACTACTACTACCGCTGCCACTGCCACTGCCACTGCCACTGCCACTGCCACTGCCACTGCCGCTGCCACCGCCGCTGCTACTACGACGACGAAAAATGCCGTCCTCGTCCTCGTCGTTTTCCAATAAGTCCTCCTCGGTCTCCTGTCACAGCGCATGCTGATCCATATCTTTTGCCGGAGTAGGGCGCGTAGGGTTCAGCGTCTACGGGTTCAGGATGTGCCTAGGCTAGGACCAAGCCGTTGGCAATCGGAAATCTTCTGTATGGCCAACCTGCCTACATTGTGTTGATCTGAACCTCCTTCCCGCAACATTGCCGACTTCAACGTCCATGTCCTCCTGAAGGATTTGCTTCCAAGCTGCAGCCGTCATGGGCTGTGGCCTGCAGACAGGACGTCTTGATTGCTTCTTGCGCAACTACAGCTGGTGTTGCAAAACCGTCGTTCTTGCTGAAGCCGATGTGCCGCTGTCACTTGTCTACATGGGCAGGCTTCAAGATGCAAGACATCCTTCTCAAAGACATCTCAGATGGCATGTACCATGCATAGCTACATGGCAGTCATTCGACCAACAAGTACGTACATACATACATACATACATACATACAAAAACCTACATACATACATACATACCTACCTACATACCTACACATCTACATACCTACATACTTACATACCTCTTTTTACGTACGTACATACATAACTACATACATACTAATGCATATGATGTGTGTATGTGTATATATACATATGTATGTACACATTTGTATGCAGCTAGTTGCGCATCCGTCTGCGAATGATGCCAAAACTATAAAGTCGACATAAGATGTGCCTACTTACTTTAAAACTACGTATTGTACTATCTGATTGGCCCATTGTGCTTCATGTCGTTGTACACTCGATGTCTCGGCATGGTGCATTCCATTGTATTGCTCTGCCTGACTGATTTCCCGGAAGTCTTAGTCGTGCTTCTAAGGAAGGCTGCGAAGAATGAACGGAGATAACGGAAGCCCACAGTCGTTGCTTGGCTAGGGATTTTTGGATGCAACATTGAAGTGCAGCTGGAACCCGCCTCTCGCTCTCCGGCAATCCATCTTTGTTCTCCTTTGCCGTCACAGGTTCTAGAGACTCTTTGTTAACACTGCCAATGCAGTGCTGGTGCCGGTCTCATCATAGTTCAACAACTCTTACTGAGGATACCAGAGCAATCTTAATATATTGCTATCGCTAGCGTTGCTACTGATACTGCTACTACAATTACTAATCATGCTCATACTAATAACAACCACAACGTGATTATGCTAGTACAAGTACCGAGTATAGCAGGAATAATCGTAGTACTAAGCATAAACATGGGAGGATAAACATGCAGATAGCTAATCAAAAAAACACAAATGTGGTCGAGATCCAGATGATCAGATTAACCATGAAGGCTCCAGTTGTCACGATCATGCCTGTCACCGTCATCATCAGCATCACCATCATCACCATCAACGTCACTGTGATCCTGACAATAGATGTGTTGCTTTGCACCGCATGGCTCTGTGATGCCAACCACAGTGGTCTTGACGACAGTTCTGAGACAGTGGTGGATGGTATTCGTCGTCCTTGTCGTCGTCACAGTGGCAACAGCAAGGGAAATAGCGGCCCGCATTGCCTGAACACAGAAAACCTCAATTGCAAGCCGTAAGCTCGAAGATGCAATACCCCAAGCCCCGCACCTGGAAGCACTCCCTCGCTTTCAGGAGTGCCTTGGAGGCCTCGATGGGCTTGAGCCTAGGCCAAATGCAGATGCTTTGGAATGCTAGGCTTTATTTCGATACTCTAGAGGCTTTGGGACACCTCGCTTGAGGCGAATGCGCATGTCTTCTGCAATGCTATTGCTTATTCTAAAGAGTACTTGACTAGGGTTCACGCAGTGCTGGATTATACCGTCAAGCCTGGGTTTATCAAGATACTTCTCCATTGTCACGGATTTTCCTATTTGTGCTCACGACTGTGGACTCGCGACCCTCCTTCTGAGGAAAGTGGCTCGGCAATGAGCTCGTCAATGCCTTCATACTCCTGTGGCGATGCACCAGCCGAAACTAGGGGGAATCAGGCATGACTGGGAAGAAGGTGCAGGAACTCGTAGCGACGTGGTTTGCATGTTGCGGGGTTCCTAGCTGCTGCGATGCACGACATCAAAGAAGTATGGCAGCTTAGGAAACCTATCATGGATCGCTGCACAGAAGATGATGATGATGAAAACATGAAGCTCAGAGGAGCGTGAGGACGAGGAGGAGGAGGAGGAGGATTACGATGCTGCTGATGGTGGTGATGATGATGATGATGGTGATGGTGACGATCATGGTGGTGATGATTGTGATGACGATGATTTCTATCATGATGATGATGATGATGATGACGATGACGATGATGATGATGATGATGACGATGATGTTGATGCTGCTGATGATGATGACGACTATGAAGATGGTGATGACGATACTGATGATGACGATGATGTGTTGTTGTTGATGATGGTGATGATGAGAAGGAGATGATGATGACGAGGATGATTTGGATCTGATGATGATGATGATGATGATGGTGATGGTGATGGTGGTGATGGTGATGGTGACGGTCGTGATGATTGTGTTGGTGTTGGTGATGCTGATGGTATTGGTGATGGTGATAGAGGAGTAGGATGGTGACGATGGATGATGACAAAAGTGCATGTGTTGGAGTTGGTGGCAGCCCGAAACCGCTCCCCCAAAAGTTCCTCGTGGGCAAAGGAATCAATCCATGTTGAGAAAGCCTGAGTTAATTTGTGAAACGAACCAGGGTCAGGACGTTCTCGACACCACGCATGTCAACGGGGAGCATCATCTCCTGGCCAAGACAGAGCAGAGATGCAGCTTTATCAATTCTCTGAGTATTGCACATGCCGACAGATCCTGCGCCAATCCACCCAAGGCTCCAAGGCACCCTGCACATGGAAAGGGGCCTTGTCGTCCAGCTTGGTTGGCTCCAGGATCTTATCAAGGAAGGGCTGGAGGTCCTCTTCAGAGAAATCCAGTCTTCAGGGCTTCGGGGCTTCCGCGCGGAGGGCCGGGCCTCTGGTTTCACATCGGCCTTCTGGAGAGCTTCCTGCTCGGGGCGAGAGATCTCCGGATTGCGGGTTTGGCGACTTGCTGGAATGCGAAGGACTCCAAGACTCCGAGATTGAATGGATTTCATTTCTGGAGTGGAATCCTACACCCTGGCATGGGACCAGTCCTGCATGCCTTTTAAGCTGGCTTCCGCCAGGTAGTAAAGATCCTGGCAGGAGACATGAATCTTCGGGCGGTCAAGACACCAGCACTGGAAAAAAAACCTGGAGGGGGAAGCCGGAATGGCAAAAGATCGTAACGTCAAGCTACAAGCTGGAAGGCATCCCACCCCAAGCAGCAAGTGGGAGCGCCCTCGAAGCCGAGGCCCTCAAACCATGAACCTCTCCGTGCCTCCCCATCCGCCCCGTTTAGAGGATCCTGGGCCGAGGCACGGACTCGGTGAGTTTTCTTGTGCTGTGCTTCGAAAAATCGGAGCAAGGCATGGCAACAGCCTCTGACCCTTGACAGAACTTCCGCAGGCCTTCTAAGGGCAATCTGCTAAGGCATTCTTGATTGGCAGAACAGCAAAGAGAATTCGGAAAATACATCGGAAAGAGTCGCTGGTCGAAAGTTGGATTACGTGCCGCATGCTGAAAGCCTTCCCCGGGTCTCCGGCAAAGAGCTCTTCAGCCCCTTCTTCTACCTGGGGAGTGCTCTCCTTCTCTGCCTCTTTCTCCTGCACACCCGGACAGCTTGCTGGAGTCCGTGCAACGAAACTCTGCCCGATGTGCGCAGGCCAAAAGCCTGGCTGAAATCCTCGTTTCAACAGCTCTGCGGCTTGGTCCTTTGGTCCAAACTACAGCTTCAGCTAGAATTCAGCAAGATGTCCACGATGATGGCAAGCTGTTTACGAAATGAATTAGGAGAACAGTTTCTGGTTGGCCTCGACGAGTTTCCTAGACGACTTAGACTCCCCGAGGCCCGAGGTTCCGGCTTTTCGGGTTGACCGGTCCACTCCCATCTCCCAAGCCTGCCTCTGCCATGGCGCGAAGGGAACAAAATCCAAACGGATCGCTCGCAGCCTCAAGCCGGAGCTGCAGACTCGTCCCTATACGAGGCAACTCGAGGTGTGCCCGAGGCTGCTGTGAAAGCTTCGATCGCCGCATTCTGCATCTTTGATGACTTTTTGATGACTTGCCGAAGGCCAGTCGCTCTTCGAAGTCTTGGCATGCCTTGTGTTTTGTGGATGCTACATTTGAGATGTCAGGCTGCCTGAATCGACGACATGCGAAGCCCGGGCGTCATCCTTCAAGAAGAAGACCCTCATCCAAATCAGAATCACCTGAAACACACCAAATACAAAACAGGTAAGCTCTGCTGAGGATGTCTTCGTGCCGAGTTCGAAAGAAGTAGCAGCTAGACATCCGGTAGTCATCACCTGTCACTCTAACTCGGGAAAGTGATTTCCATCGCCACAAGTATTAAACCCCAGTGAGGCCGCGGCCGGCAGGATCAAGAGGCAAAATACAGCTGAGATCCGTGAAGGCAGCGGTCCAAGTTTGCTCTCGGGGCCGTTCCAATGAGCACCCGGTCCAGGTTTTCAGGGTTCCAAGCAAGTTCTGGGGGTGAAAACCGCGGCAACTCCGCCGTAATGGGGTGGTGGACACACGCGCCTCCCCAAATCCCAAAAAACGCAGCAACTCGGAACACCACAATCGTCTATATTAGAAGACCATTTAAGCCTCTAAACAGAATGAATGGCAAGAAATCTCGAGAACGGTAAGTGACCGGACATACCAGGCTTTGTTCGGCTGACTTGTGGCGTAGGCGCTTCTCCGGGGTGGTGAGACAGCAAGAACTCCGAACTCCAGCTTGCAGGGAAAGGTGGCCTAGGGCTTCAGAGCTTGACATTGGTGAGATAGTTCAGAACTCTGCCGATGTGACAAAGTGCAGGTGCGCAGCACGAAAACGGGCGAACTCAGCGCCGTCTTCAACCGCAAGATATTTTTGCGGCGGCGGCACTCACAGGACCTCACTCCTGCCGCTCCTGGCGCGCACGTAAGCGTAAATGCGAACAAAACAATGCAGGCCAGTCACACAACATGAGGCCTCAAAAATCGTTGAATCCCTCCGCTCTGTGCAACCGAAGGATCGCATAAGACTTGCAATGTCGTTCACTCTGCACAGAGTCACGAAATCGCCGGGCAGCTTGCCCTTTCTCCTGTTTCCAGCTAAACAGCCTGCCCCCAGGACCAATTCGCCCCAGATCGCTTGAGCCCGACAAATTGCATCTCAACCCTTGACCAAACCTTGTCGCTTGCGAACATTGGCATAAACATTACAGGAAACAACACCTACCAAAAACACCTACCAACCTACCTGCCTGCCTGCCTGCCTGCACGTCGACCGAGTCTACAGGATCGCACACGTGTAAGCAAAGCGAAGTCCACTCCTTCATGCCGAATAGCTTCTTCGCTCGCGCCAGGCCTTTGGCCCAATCATCAGCCTGTCGCTTTCCGCACGTTGATCCACTACGGTTTGGCAGGGACTCTAGGAACACAGCGCAGCGGCACAAGGTAACCTTGCAGCTATCAGCTGGGTTGCTTAGGATGTTGTGCTTCGAATTTCACGAGTGGGATGCTAATGTAGGGCTTGAGGCTAGGGTTTAAGTTGAGGGTTTTATTGTGTTGACTTCCTCATTCGAAGGATCCCCCGCGCCGTGGTGTCTTGGACTCGGCAAGGACGTGTTTCCTAGCCTGCGCTTGCTTGTATGATGCTGTAGATCCTATCCGGTCTTTTCAGCTCATCTGCGAAGGTTCAGGAAAGGTTGCAAAGACAGCTCGAAGCGCATTACTACGCGAGTTCACATCATAGACTGATTAGTTAAGAAACAGGCAACTGACAAACGACGGCCAGGGCCCACCGGAATCAAGGGCAGCGAGAGCAGGGCCATGGTCGTCGCCATCCTGTCATGGCACCGTCCACGCTCCAAGGAGAGGTTGTGAATTTGGGGCAATGGACTGGGCAGTTCAAGGGTCGTGCGCATCCGTGCACGAGCAAGTGCATGGCTGCAGAAGCTGCAGCTTCTTTAATCTCTTGGCGATGGCACCTGGAGCCAGACTGCCCTATGCTGCACGAGAAATATGCTTACCAGCGCGATCCCTCTCCGGCGTGTCTCTACGGTCTTCGGTCTTGCAAAAGCATGTTCATAGTTTTGGCTGGTGGGTCAGCCCGCAGCACTGAAGTGTTCATCTTGTTGGGGCTTTCTCTGCGCATTCTTGCGCTGCAGCTTGGACCCAGGAAACGCGATTGAAAGGAGACGAGGAGGAAATGCCAGTAGGCCCCTGGCATGCCACCCCGCTTGGCCAGCTTCACCAAGTCCAGGCCACTCTCTCCAACATCACGCAGCATGCCTGGCTACGGTGACTCGACACGTCACATCACCTGCGTCGCATCACCTGCGTCGCTTCTGCAAGGAAGTGCCTCTCGTGCACTACCTGCAATTCAAAGCCGGCCACACTTCCCATGGCAATCGACATGCAGGCGGCCGGTTGTATGGCCAGCGTGGAAGCCTGAGCTATCCACCCACAGCTCCGCCACAACCACAGGTGATTTGTGCGACTCCGAACCTGCAAACTGCAGCCTTTTCCGCGAGATTTCGAAGATGCCTGTAGAACAGAATGTTGTCTTGCGAGGCTCTGTGCATCTTCGCTGACATACTGCTTGAAAACCAAACTGCAAACTCAAGAGAGATCGGTTGGCAGGATTTCGTGCTCTGTACAAACCTGCCACCGGGGATGCTTGAAAAGCTTTAAACCTAAAACCAACTTCACCCACTCGAATTACACGGCTCTTGCGGCACTTGGCTGGATCAGGACCGGTGTGTGGGTTTGGTAGTTGCAGATATTGCCCACAAGGTTGTACAAGGACACGGCATCTTCGCGGCTGGGCTGCGTGTTACCGTGCTCCGTCATGGCACGAGATGCCACCTGGGGAGCTCTCAAGGTCAGGAAGGGCCCAGGGGAGACATTCAAAGTATGGACTACGGCGACTACGGGCCGCCAGTGCTGCAAGGATCTTCTATCTTAAGCTCCGTGAACTCAGCCCCGCAAAGAGGGCCTGGAGGGTCAGAGGCTGCCCTTTGGCAAGCTGGCCCTTCATGTCCTCTGTGAGAGGTACCTTCTTGGACCACCAGTACCTGGGAGACTGGGGTCAGGTGAAGGAATGCTGCCCTGAAGCCTCAATCCCGTGAATCCCATTACAATCATTACAAAGCCTTAACCGACAGATTCGCATGTCAGGTTCAAGGGGCCAGGACCAATGATAGTTTCTTCTGTGGACCTTCTCCATGCCATGGTCATCCAAATCAGCCGGCACATAGGTCTTACCTGGAGGCCGGCTCGGCAGGATGCATCACCGAAGCCCCGCACAGCCCCGCAGAGCCCTGCGCCTCCGTCAATGGAGACGTCCACGCGGGCGATGCGGTGGCCGCCGCCACCCAAGGCAATGCCACGAACCTCTTGCAGTCCGTTCTGGCAGCTAAGGAACTCCAAATCGTCCCAACAAAGACTCAAGTGTTAATTTCAAAGTCCCGGTTCATGCCCGTGGCTTCGGCCGACCTCGATGCCATCAGCTGCGACCTTCGATGCCTCCTGCCCGGACCTGAGCCATGATGTAAGGCATTCGGATTCGGACTGCTGTCGCGACGGGCCTAACGGGCAGTTTGATGACCCCAAGCCAAGCAAAGACTGTGGGGACATGGCTGGGTTCAGCTTCGCAATAACATGCTTGGGCGCTGCAGCATGGACAGTTCAGCAAGGCGAGGGCGTGTTCCGGGACGAGTAGCAATCTCCATTCAGTCGAGCCTATCCACCGTAGTATCCCAACTACAGGCTTGCCCCCACAGCGAGTTACAAGCGAACCCAGGTTGGTTGAGCCGGGACCAGAGAAGCCAACGCCGGATCGCTCAGGCCCAGGGGCAAGGTCGTGTTCACCTCGGGGAGGATAACACTGCTGTGGACCGGCATTTCCTCAGCTGGGGTCTCCCTCTTGGAGGGGAGGAGCTGGGCTGGGCTACAGCTAAAGGAGGCTGCCGCCGAGTCTCCATGACTCTGAAGATGTCGTTGTCCTGCTGCGCCTCCCATCTACCGGCCCTTTGGACCGTGCCGCCTGTCAGCGAAGCCTTGGCGAGATGGTCTTCAAAGGTCATATTCGGAGGATAGATCACCTCATCGGTGTGCGTGTCGATGTGGCTTTCGTGCAGCTCGTCGGCCAACTCCATCTTCGCCAGCCATTTGCAGTTTCGGACGCCGGCATAACCAGGCACAAGCACCCGAACAGGGTAACCATGGTCGGGAGGGAGCGGCTCGCCGTTCATGGTCATAGCGAGAATCACATCGCCAAAGGGGTCAATCGCCTTTTCTAGCGGGATCGTGACCCCAAAGCTGGAGCCTGTCTCATCTGCATCATGGCCGGTGAGTCGCAGGTACTTTGCAGGTAGCGGCTTTGTGCCAAGGGCGATAGCATCAACATCGACCCCACTCATGCGCAGCACGTCTCGGCACTTGACGCCTGTCCAGACAGCATGGCTGCCCCAAAAGTTGTTGTTGATTTCGTTTCTTGGGAAAGCCTCCTTTTCCCATGTCTCTCTGTTGTCCGTGCGATGGAGGTATCTTGGATAGAGCGCAGCCCCGCCACAAATCATGGTAGCTTCCACTGTGTTCTGCTTCATGGATCGTAGGTCCTTGAGTTTGAAGATCCTGCCCTCCTTGCCGGGAACGCTGACCTCAAACTCATACTCCTCTTCGACATCCTCCCAACTCGGCACTGGGAAATGATTCCTCACATAGAACCCAGGCAGGGGAGTTCTGAAGGAGTCGAGGAGATACTTGCCCATAAGGTTGGCCCATCGGGGAGCAGTCGCAATCGTTTGCTGCAGCTTCCTCGGCGGCTCGTTCTCATAAGGATTTGCAAAAATCGTCTCGTCGTAAGACCTCTTGGCGTCCTTCGGCGTCAGGCGGCCCACCAGGCAAGTCCTGTCAAGGAACTTGCTGACGTCCGGGTGCACATGATAAACGTCAAAGTACTTCTGGAGGTCGCTTCCAGCCGCCATCTGAATCCTTCCTGGGCCGCCAGGATGAATCTTGGCGAAGTTGGTGATGTCGTACACATGCCCATGGTACGAAATCCATAAGCCTTCCTCCAAGTTATTGTGGCTTCTGAGCTCCTTGAGGCTTATGACCCGGAGCTCCCTGTCCTTTGGTATCTCTTGGTTTGTGGCAACTGGAGCTCCCAGCGTCTGGCGGTGAGCCTCACATCCGCAGGAGCCGCCGGCGGCCAGAAGGCCTCCTGCGATCCCCGCGGCATACGCCCAGGCCGGAGCCCTGCCTGGCTCCGGCGCCCTCGCGCCTTGCCAGGCGCGCTGCAGCGCCGGCGCCAGTCGGGCACAGGAGCGCATGGCTGGATCTGGGCCTTTGACTCTTTGACTATAGCCTCTTGAAAGAGCGTGACTGCAGAGCGTGACTCGAGGGCACAAGGCATTCTGCGACCGAGGACCGGGGCCGGCACAATCAGAAAATAGGAGAAAGGCATGCCAATCATGGCTGTTGCGTAGTTCACAAACCTGGCGGACTGCAGGGCCCCTTGCTCACACAAGGCAAAAGCAAACACACTCGGTGCGCACCTGTATGGTCTGCGTCACGAGTCTTGCTCCGAAATCTTCCAAGCCCGAATTGCAGGCAGGCGGGCCAATTCGGAAACAGCGGCGACACGCGCAGGAAGAACATGTACCGAAACCTCGGCAGAGTCCAGGTCTGCAGAGAGTCGCCGGGTCGGGGCTTCAATCACCAGAGAAAGCTGTCGTTTCAGTCCTAATTCGCAGTCCTTGGCAGCCAGCATGGACCCCTGAAACTTGTCCATCTCCTGCAGCTTTCAAGGCTCGGAGCTGTTGGTAGCCAAACGGTAAGACTTGCTGGTTCTCGGAAGTTACAGGTGCCTCTAGCTTCGTTCTTCCGACTGGTAGCTTCTAGATCAGGGCCCAAGCCCCTCTAGCATTTCTGTGAACCCGGCGTCTCTTGCCCTTCGTCGCATGTAGACTCTGAACTTGTCCGGTCTTGCGACGCTTCGGAAGTTTAGAGGGGAACAGACATGTAGTTCCTTTCAGGTAATAATGTGATGACACGTAATTTGAAGACGCAATCAGCGCTGTCCTGCTTCAATGTCGCCATCTTCTCGGCGGCAAACTGGCAGGAAGCAAAGCCAGAGGGTATGTGACCCAATTAAATAATTTTGTCGCGACAAGTTTCGACAATTTTGACTTCAGCTGTCTGGCCGAAGACGTTAGCTTGACGTCTTTGCAGGAGTGCACGCAACCTGCCACAACACACTGAACCTGGCCAAAAAAAGCCGTCATCACAAAACGGCTGGCAGCGCGTGCAAGAGGATCTCTCGACCGATGCAGTACGACCTGAGCACAACTGTAACAGCTTCCGGCAAGTCCAGGCATCTGAGGTTTAATTTAGCATTCAGTGCAGGACGTAGGGAATAAGGTCGAGTCTAGAGTTAAGTCCCTTGCCTTCGCCTGTGCTGCACATGTTCGCCTTCCGTACATCAAGGGTGAGAATCATACATGTCTTCCGGCTGAGCCAGACGGCATGATCCAGCCGCCAGCTCCACCACAAACCTCACAAGAAGGTCTGGCCCACCCACATCCCCCACCCGGCCGGCACAGCCAAAACCTGCCTTAAACCCCTGAGAACTTTCAGAATCTCAACTAGGAGTCACTCCACCGCCACCTCGCCACTCACGCCCAGGAGGTGCGCGAGAGCGGAGTACTGCCTGGAGGCAGAGCGCCGATTGGGTGCTACAGGTACCACTAGGGTCAGACTTCTAAGCCTTGCCCTCTCCATGACATATGCTCCCGACCTCCCCCCCCGTCAGTTCACAAGAGCTCGTATCCCTGCACGAATCTGCCTGCTGTACCCGCCAGGATACTATCCGATGGTATGTCGGAAAGCTAGGTTCGGGACGTGTTCGGTTCAGCCCATTCATCATACAGCGCCCCGATCAGTACCTGACGCTGGCCAGGTGGACCAGGATTGCTGGCAGAGGTTCTCGGCCATTGCTGCTTCAGCCTGTGCTGGTGCCCTACTCTCTTGAGGTTTCTCATGACGTTGCTAGCCGCTTCGGGGACCCTCCCATTTTGAAGAACCATGCCCTGGATCTCCAAGAGAAACCTCCCGGAATGTCCCAATCCTGAAAACGAGGTTTGAGCTCAAAAATCGTTCAAAACTCTGGAGGCTCTAAACCCGTAAGACCCCACCCTGAAGAGCCGTTGCGCACTGAGAGGACCATGGAGGTGCCGGCACCGAAAGGCCCAAAGATCTTGAAGATCACCTCGGAGACGGCTTAGTTGTGTTCAGGGTTCCATGGGTCGCGTCGAATCGTCGTACATTGATGTAGCTCTCGCGTCCGTCAGCCGAAGACAAAAACCGCAACAAACGACACTGACTAACCGGTAAGCTTTTGCCAGTTAGCAGGAGCTGGGCCCGCAGCGTACATTCCCCAAATGCCAGCTGTAGTGTGCCACCTGGGACATGTTCAAATCTTCACTAGCCTGCAGGTCTCTCCTGTAGCTTCGGGGCTCATTGAACCTGTCCATGTCCATGTGTGCTTGTCGGGGCTTGGACAGTCTAGATCCATCAAGCTTCTCTGTGTATGTGTACACCGGGACTCTCTGCCAAGCAAGACCTTCTTTCACCAGCCAAGTGGCCAGTTGTCCTTCTTGTACTCCCTCAAACCTGGCCGAAGCGGGCCGAAGCCAGTCCAGCAACCCCCGGCTTGAAATCAGAACCCCACTGCCGTGCTTTCCCCAGCTTTCGGTCAGAGCAAACAGCCAGAGGCACAGGTCCACAGGTCCAAGATGGACTTCTGCGGTTCTCGGACCTTGTGTTGTGAGCCCACATCAGAGCCGGGTTGCTGGTGTTATCCTCTCTTGGCAAGCACAACAGTTTCTGCAGTCGCCGCGCTGCCTTTGGCAAGCCTTCAGCGACTGGCTTTCCAGTCAAGTCAATGTTTCAAACTCATCCCGAGGATGCAGCAGTTGCGAAGGCGTGTAGCTAGGGCCGCAGCTAAAGACCCAGCTTGTGAAATGCTAGGCCGCTAGGCATGTAGGCACACGGCCCTCTGCCTAGCCAGCCACGCTGCAAGTAGCTGCCACTCACCACCGGTCGATGGCACTGTCACGGTCCAGCTTTAGTCTGGCCTTCATTTGGATTTCACCGCTTTGCGAGGTGTCGATTCAAGACACCCAGACACCACCAGGACATGGACGTCTGCGTCTACGTCGGCCGCTCAGCAGTCTCACAGCGTCTGTGCATGATCTCGTGGAAGTTTCGTAGCCGCCGCCATTTCGGCACCTGCCTGCAGCAGCGAATGTCGAAGCGACAGTGCGCCTGGCCCGGCCACAGAGGACAAGCTTAGCGTGGCATCTCAGCCCGGCTACGCTGCGCCAGGGCCGCTAGGGAGCGCCAGGGCTCATCGATCATCGCGGGCATCTAGCGGAGACCTGACGGCAAAAAAACGCAAAAAGCCTTTTTTGGTTTTGAGATCTCGGCCGAAAATCGTCCGCCTTCGCTTCGAAGACGTTCATCAAGCTCTCGTAGAGACCTCAGCTTCAAGCCGAGACGACCCGAGACGACCCGAGACCCGGCCTTCAGCGCTTCCGAGCGCGGGGCTGGTGTCCTCCTTCGCAAGGGAAGCAAAGCTCTCGCTCTCGGCTTCGCCTGCGATGCTGCAACATCCACAAGCAGCCACTTCGGCTTTCTGGCTTCAACAAACAAGCTCAGTCCCCCTCTCCCTCTCCCTCTCCCTTGTTTGCTGACCGATGGCTTCAGGAGAGGAGACCCCGTGAGGCCCATGAGCCCCCCACACGAGTGCCCGCAGCCATGTCTCAAGGTCTTCGCAGCGGATCGAGTCCATTGTCGCTCATGCCCCCTCGCTCTGGCTTGCTTGCTTGCTTGGGGTTTGCGGTCAAGGACCCCCGACCCTCGCTCTCTCTCTCTCTCTCTCTCGCTCTCTCTCCCTCCTTCCACACCTGGCCTCTAGGACTCTAGCCCCCCAAGTCTTGGGGCTTGTTGAAGGGACTGCGCGAAAAAAAGCGCACGTACCGGTTTGTCCCCCCGAACCCCTTCACAAGAAGAAAACAAATCAAGCAAAAGTAAACGAAGTATTCCGTCCAGGGGTCCATGGTACTTGTCTTCGGGGTGCGAGCAAAAGTTACTGTTGGTCGAATGTAGCTACTTCTCCCATAATCTTCGGAAACGGTCGCGCATTAACGAAGAGTTTGATGCAGCCCGCTCCCCCTCTCTCTCTCTCTCTTGCTTGCTGGGGGTTTGAGGGCGAACCCTCCGGCCCGAAGGCCAACCCCACAAAGGTCCGCGCACGTTCGTTCGGTAGCCCCCTTACGGGGTGAAGATGAGGCTGTTCCCCTCAGTGTGCCTGTAACCCCTCGCCCCCAAGGAACACCCCTCCTAAGACCATAACCATGCCAAACCTTGCAGGCTCCACTGAGGTCTTCCAGGCATCTTCGGGAACCAACTAGCTGGGACCTGGCTTCTTAACCGCAAACTTTCAAAACAGCAACCTACCAACAAAGTAGCACCAGCCAGTTTCCACCGAGAGAGAGTGTGCCTCTCGCAGCGGTGGGCAACGAAACAACGAAGCTATCACACGCGTTGCTCCCCGCTCGAAAGATCGTGCTATCCGGAGCTCCACTCCTTCTGCACTGTTCTGCGAACTTCAGCGACTCTACCGGAGTTAACCCAACCTACCTGCCTCCCCACCTTATCCCGAACAGAACCTCGCAGCAGCACTACCTTCACCTTCCCACCCCCGAAACCTCTACTTGTCGTGGATTTCGTTCTGTATTCCGTGTTGTTGACTCAGTCGGGAGGGGGGCCGTATGACAGCAAACAGACGCCTCAACTCAGCTCGACATCAAAAGCTCGACACATGAATCACAGGCCACCCAACCTAATTGGTTGGCCCCCCTTCCTTTGTTCACGGGCACGGTCCCCTTGCGTTTGTGCGAACTTCTACTCCCAGCTATGGCTTCTCGTTCCCCCCTTACGGGGGTTGCTGCACACCCGATGAAAACACCACTTTAGGTCATCATCCCCTGAGAACGTGACCACTTCTGTAGCAAGATGCCATAAGCTGTGTTCCTTCACCCTCACTCGCTGACATGTGAGCAAGAGGCCCCCACTCGGAGGACAACACTTAGAAACCCCCATCGACATAACGTTAATCATCGTTGTCAAGCGAGCTTGGGCTGGTGAAGCCTCTTCTTCTGCGGCTCCTAGGCTCACTGGGGGCTTCATGTTGCTCCCCCTCAGGTCTTGGTGCGGCTGATCTTGTAAAGGGAGTCGTTGAACTGGCCGCCCCACTCGTCACGTCCAT